AGCGGGCGTCCCCGGCACCCGCCCCGGGTTACACAAGCGCTTTTTCTGCATGAGCAACGTGCTATCGCGTACCTTCCCTCGCCCCAAAATCCTCCCGCCAAGGGACAAGGTGCTGCTGGCCGCGCCCCGGCGCCGTTAACGCCAAACCCCGGCAGAATTCCCCACATCCCGCTCAGACCCTATAGAATTCCTTATCTGGGGGGGACGTTATCTCAGGGCAACCTCCTTCCAGCAAGACAATTTTTTTGTCCAGCTCTGTACGTCCCCCGAGTTGCACGGGATTAATTATTTACAGCAATATAGAGGGGGGGGAAAAAATATCAGCGTGTAATAAAATTCCTAAATGCTGCCTAAAAACCGGGCGGCGAGCACTTGGTTTTCCCTTCACCTAGAACGGGAGGCGGATTTCTCCCGGCTTTTCCCTTTCCCCTCCATACGGAGCTGCTGGGGGCGGGCGGAGGAATAAAAGGAGGATCCTGTGCATCCCAGGGGTACGCGATGGGGTGTAAAAAAAACGGGAAAAAACCCCAAATAAACCAAAAATACATCTTCCAGGTATCCACTACGTGGGGCAGATGCAGGAGGGCTCCATCATCCGCTTCATGGTGGACCAGCTGACGGAGGGGCAGCTGGAGTGGGCTCCGCTGCCGGCCGTCTACGACGCCGTGGTTTTGGGGGAGCCCGGCCGCGGCAGGACGTACCGCATCTATTCGGGGAAGCAAGAATATTTCCGAGGCTTGAAGGAGCAGTTTCCCGGGGAGGGGGCCGCTATCGACGAGTTCGAGCGGCTGGTGAAGGTAAAGGGGGCTTCGGCTTTGCTGCGGGAATGGGATGGGGGGATTTTCTTGGCTCTGGGGGGTCATGCAAGGAGGGGAAATTCCCCCCCCCCTCCCGATACCCAGATATTGGGCAACGGCAGAGAATAACGGTGCTGCACAACCCGCCCCCAAAAGCGTTGGGAAACACGTCAAAAGTCTCCCTTTTCTGCCTCCAAAACCCGGTGTCGCTCCCAGAGTTTTAACCCCGCTCCCCACGGATGCTCGTGGTCCCACGGGATGTGCTGGGACCCCTGCAAGCTCCAACACCCCCCCCCACCCCCGCAAAAAGCCCTGCGGGA